TTAGTATAGCAAATTCCATTAAGCCTAATGTTAACTAAAACCCTGACCATATTAAAGTAGAAAGAAATAGGATGTTACTTAAAAAAAACATTTTTTCATGGTTTTGTTACATCTTGATTGTTTAAAATCTCTTCTAATTGGACAGCCTTTTGTTTGAATTTAAGGAATAATATGATTTATAGCACCAAGGGAAAAAGTGAGGACAAATCTTTACACAAGTGGTGCAGACATTTGTGACTGATGTAAATGGAAAAATAATATTAATTTTCATAATAAGCCACCTGATATTTTAGCCAATATGACATTAGAGGAAGGAGCTCTGGTAGCATAGTGGTTTACGAGTTGGGCTGCTAACCACAAAAAGGTCAGCAGTTCGAATCTGCCAGCTGCACCATGGGAGAAAGATGAGGCTTTCTGCTCCTGTAACAATCTATAGCCTCGGAAATCCTGTACAGGGTTGCTATGAGTCAGAATCAACTTGATGTCACATAGCCACCACTACCATTAGTGGCGTCACAAATATAGTACAAGTAATACTAACGGAAAAAGGATGAGAAAATGTATCTTGAGGCAATAAAAAAAAAAAATACATGATTAAAAGTCACAGGTGTAGAAGATGTCTTGTTCATTTTTCAATTTTGGTAATGATTTTAAAACAATTGTATTGGTGGTTTTAATGTTCTACATCAAATGATCAAACATGCAGAGCTACCAACAAGAAACAAAACTGAATGATTTTTGCAATTACATCATTTGCTCAGAGTATTTCAGAATATTAAAGCAGGCAAAAGAGAGCTGTGGAAGGAGTGGAGTGCTCATCTATTTAAGTTTAGTTTAGGAAATTTCTTGTCCAGTTACCACTGTAGTAAAGAATTTATGCTTATACTCTTTTACAGTACTATTTACAATAACATCTCCAAAGACTGGAATACTCAGGCTATAGCTTTTTGATGAATAACTCTAAAGTAAAAGTTAAATTGAAAATCTGTTTGAGATTGTCTTTGTTGAAAGTCAGTGAAAGTGGCACTATGCCTGGGGTCATCATTAGGAATCAAGACTTTGGTATCAGAATGTCAACTGTAACTTGACCTATGGTTTTAAGGGTATTAAGAAATCTGCTGCACGAGACCTCTTTAAAATGTTGAAGAGCAAAGATGTCAGCTTGAGGACTAAGGTGCACCTGATCCAAGCCATGGTGTTTTCAGTAACCTCATATGGATACAAAAGTTGGACAGTGAATAAGGAAGACCATAGAAGAATTGATGCCTTTGGGTTATAGTGTTGAACAAGTATGTTAAAAGTACCATGGATTGCCAAAAGAACCAACAGATCTGTCTTGGAGGAAGTGCAGCCAGAGTGCTCCTTGGAAGCCAGGATGGCCAAACTTTGTCTCTCATACTTCAGACGTATTATCAGGAGGGACCAGTCACTGGAGAAGGATATCATGTTGGGTAAAGTGGAGGGTCAGAGAAAAAGAGGAAGACCCCCAGTGAGATGGATTGGTACAGTTGCAGCAGTGATGGGCCCAGGGTTAATAATTGTGAGGTTGGCCCAGGACAGCAGTGTTTCATTCTGTTGTGCACTGATTGGGTTACTATGTTTTGGTACCAACTCAGTGACACCTAACAACATGTCCTCTTTTGAGTCTGGCTTGTGTTTTTTGTGATTCCTTGTTGGTATACTGCTATAAATTTTATTGAATTGTCTTTAGAAAAAAATTGCTTGTGTGTGAAAATTATTTCATAATTTCCACATCCATATATTGCGTTTCTTTGAAAAGGGCACAAATATGAATCCCTTCCAAATTTCTTGACACAGATGAGTGAGTCTTCCCCTGTAAACTGAAGTAAGTCAGGTTATATAATTACAATATGTATACAGTTACTGCTGAAGCATAACAGCAATTGTGAGGATAGTGCAGGGCATGGCAGTGGTTCATTCTGTTGTGCATAAGGTCACTATGAGCGGAACTAACAATGACAACAATAGTTACTATTGTTGGAGATTATCTGAAAATTGTAATACTTGGTTTTTAATTTTCAACTATGAAGCTTAAAGGAAGAGAAGATATGATAGATGGGCTGTCTAGAATTTGAAGTAGGGTCCATCTAGAAGAACAAAAGGGAAAAGAAGAAACCTGTTGATATTATAACTCGGGAAGAGCAACAGAAATTGTTCAGTCAGCTGTTTTGATTATCGCTTCTGTGCAAGGCACTGGTTAAAAATGGTGGAGAATACAAAAATATAAGAGGATTAGATTACTGCTTTCTAGGCACTTTACTATTTAGTGTAGGAGTTCTGAAATTTTTAAAATGAAGAATTAAGAACCCAGTTATCTATAGAGTAATTACTTTTAAGTGTTTTCAGGAAAAGGGGAAATAAAGCAGAACATGTACGCAATTCAGTAGAATGACAGAAGTCTTTTTGCCTGTGCCCCAAAAGAGAAAGGCAGGCTTATTCTCTGTGACTTGTTGTGTTTCCTATAAATACTGCCAGAGCTATTTTGCATGTTTTCAGCTATATGTTCAAATGCAAAGTTGATTTCTAAATACTTGTCCCATATAGGATATAGGAAAGTGGATTTCCATAATTGTGAATGAACCCACATATACTGGTTGATTTCTAATTATTTTTCTTGAGGTAGAAGAAATGGGCATATTTCTCTACACTAGAATATATATAAGGCCTGCAAGGGCAGGGATGCTTTTCTTATTATTGAGTTATCCCAAGTGCTTTAGACCAGTGTGCATTTTAGACCCTCAGTTAAGAATTTTTAGAAATAGGGTACTCCATAGAGCCTCTGTGGTGTGTTTCCCTCTCCCCACCCCCCGGTGTTTTAAGTTTATTAATGAGTTATCAACTGTAGTGTCATTAACATTTTTTTCTTATACAAAGATTAGACCATGGGAAGGGGAAGCATCAAAGACAATTCTTGGTGTTTATGCCTGGCGATCTGGAAGATAGTAAGTCTGTAATAGAAATAGGAACCATAAGAATAAAAGAATTAAAGAGGAACAAAGATGATATATTTGGTTTGGGGAATATGGAGTTTGGGGCAAAAGATAGCTGTCTAGCTAATCAAAGATGTGGGTGAGTGGTTAGGCTCTAATAATAGTTGAAACTATGATTGCATATGAAGCTACCAGTAATAATGATGGTCATCAGTTATTGTACTCTTGATATATGCCAGACACCATTTTTTGTAAATCAATTTCATTTCAAACCTGTGAAGTAGATTCTACTATACTTCTCATTTCATAGTTAAGAACATTGAAGGTATCTTTCCTTTAGCCAGATAGCTGGTAAGTGGTAGAGCTAGGCTTTGAATGTAGATCTGTTTGACTCTAATGTAATGAACTGGTGCCAAATGGTACAGAAATATAAAAGTAAATGTCAATTTAGAAAAAGTGACTGAATAAGTTTTCTAGGAATCATTGATAATCTTTAAGAGAACTCTTGCCAGAGTTCTGATGCAGGGGCAAAGGGCAAAGTCAAGGAGTTAAGGAATAAAATGAATGGAAAATTATTCAAAGAAAATGAAAATGGAAGTGGTAAGATAAGACTTTTTTCACCCCAAGAAGTTTAGTGATACAGGAAATGGAGGAAATAGGATAATAAGATGAATTTGCAGGCCAAGAGAATTGGGGAAAATTTGGAAATCTTGTTATGGTTTTGGTCTTATATTAGGCTTTCACTCATGCATATATGTTTATTCCAACCAATATTTCTTGAGTACCTACTCTGTGCCAGATATAGTGGAGGGAATCCAGTGGAGTACAAGACAGAGGAGGTTTTTGCTGTTATGGAGCTTCCATTTTAATGAAGGTAGTGGGTGGATATCAAGAAACACAATAAATAAGAGCACCGTAAACACTGAGAAATGCTACATAAAGAGTTAGACATAATGTGATGTCTGGATAGAAGCATTAGATTGTGACAGGAAAAGCCTGTTTTGTAGATGTTTTCTGAAAATCCAAAAGACAAGAAGATGAAACCAGTTAAGTAGAGAATTTGCAGCAGTGAGACTAGATAATGCGAAGGCTTCTGATGAATTTAAGCTGTGGAATGAGGGGGAAAGTGGCGTGAGATCAGTGAGCTATTCAGGCATTAGATCATGCGAGGGCTTTGTAAACTGGAGTAAGGAGTGTAGATTAGTATTTTAAATGAAATAGGGAGACAGCAATTGGAGAAATTATACATGATTTGATGTACATCTTAAAATGGAAAGGAAATAGAAAAAATCTCATATTGGCTAACTTTGGTCATTAATGAAATTCTGGACATATTACTTACCAAGGAGGCTTCAAAAATTTGTGAAAAAATTTCATTATCTTTTCATTGTGTTTTTCCAATAGCTTTTTGATGCTTCCTCATATATTCTATTATAAACAACTACATACTAACTGTCTTTGTGTTTTTCATATTAACTTTCTAATTTAAATACTTTAAACTGAATTATTATGTAACTTATTACTTAGTACTCATACAGGCATGCACTATGTAACGTGTGGGCAACATCTGATCACCTATACAGCTGTGGTTCCAACCACTATAAAGTCTATTAAAAATTCAGGGTACATGCAGTGATTCTTAATAACAAGTGGTGCTATTTTATTTTATTGCATCTGGACATTATTATTATTGTATTATGTTAAAGATTTTTTTAGTGAATTTGAAAGTACGTCTTTCATTTTTATGCATAGCAATGTAGTCTATACTATAAACTAAGGTAAACATTTGACTAGCTGATGTTAGATAGAACTGTACTTAATTTTCCATGTTCCAAATTCTCCTATAAGACACATTTAGGAATACAACTCATTCATAATCTGGGGACTGCCTGTATATAATGTGATCTTCATTGTAGCTATTATTGATATCCAAATCACTTAGTATCCTATATCACAGAATATATTGTAGATGTTAGTGACACATGACAGTAATATATTTATACATATGTATATATATGCATACATAAATACATATTTTTTATTTTCCAGGTTGTAAGTTCTACAAATGGGGAATTAAACACAGATGACCCTACTGCAGGACGTTCGAATGCACCCATCACAGCCCCTACGGAAGTAGAAGTGATGGACGAAACCAAGTGCGTCTTCATTTTGCTCATTTGAGAAACATTTTTTCCTCCTTAAACTCTGCATGTGTGAGATTTATAGTCATGAACAAATACTTTCAGAAACTTTTTTCAAGAAAAAAGTTTTTAGTTATTTCAATCACTTAGTTTTAAGATAGTGCTACTTCAGTAAATAATTCAATAATTTAAAAAAAGTGATATTTTAAAGAAATGTGCTCAAATTCTTAATAAGAATTAAAAGCATAGTCTTAGCTTTTGATTTTTAGGCGTGTTTATGCATGAAAGTTTGGTAATTGTTCTTCTGTAAACATAAGAATATATAATTAATTTATAGTACCCTTGCATGCTTTTTTATTAGTTTTAAATTAAGGTTTTATTTTTGTGAATGTAACTTTTACAGTGAAGCTGCTTGGAAAAATTAAGCATGAAAAACAATGTGATCATATCAATGTGGGCTGTTTCTGATGATCTTTCTCTCTCTCTTTTTTTTTTCCTTGTTTTTTTTGTGTGTGTATGTGTGTATATGTATAGCTGCCAGAAAGTGTTGAACATGTGGTGAGTTCTTAAGTGTAGGCAGGCAGAAATAGCTCCGTTGACTATAATTTCAAAGATTTTTCAACCATTTTATATTTTAAAAAACAAACCTATTAACATAGTAATTATAATTGGTTTATTCAAAAGTATTTGATGTCAATCACATAAGCTCTGAACAACAAGAAATAATTGCTTAAGGAGCTCTTTTGCCTGCTGCAGCTGTTTTTGCTTCAAGTGACATAGATCTGGGAGCACTTTTTAACTGAGTAGATGGTACACCAACCCTGCTTGTGCTTGTGCATTTATTGTGTAACGCAGAGGCTTTATTTGTTATTTTAATTAGAAAGGTAATTTTTGAAATCAAGTTTTCTCTTTCCTTATTTGAATACACATTGTAGCGTGACCTCACAATTTACTGATTAGCATTGCTATTGCCTACAAATAGTATATAGTGTGATATATTTTTTTATAATGTATAATGAGGTACTATTATGAAAGTTCCTCTTTTAAATCGTTCCTGATAATTGTAAGTATTATAAGAAAAACATTGTTCCTATTAGTAAAACTAACATTAAATGGAAATTGTTTTGTAACATCTATTTTGGTTGTAAAGCTATACTTAAAATTATGCTCTCAGTTTCAGAACAATTTTGTGTCAGTCTTTAAAAAGTTGCTTAGATTAAAGGTTTGAAATATCTTACTCGTATCTCGTATCCATAGCAAAGGAGCTCTGGTAGCGTAGTGGTTACGAATCGGGCTGCGAACCTTAAGGTCAGAGGTTCGAAACTACCAGTCGCTCCGCGGGAGAAAGATGAGGCTTTCTACTCCCGTAAAGATTTACACCCTCGGAAACCCTGTACAGGGTCCCTATGGGTCGGACCCGACTCGATGGCACTTAACAACAACAACAACATCCATAGCAAACCTCATAATTTCTGAAATGTTCATTTACTAGATACAAAGTAAGGAAACTTTTGTGTATATTTCTTTTTTAAAGAACATCCGTCAGTTTTGACTATAGAATTCATTGGCAACTGGTTCAGTTTAGTGCATTTCAGGTTATAATTAGTCACATTTAAAAACTAAAAACAATGATTTATGCTTATTCCTAAATTTTGGGTACAACTCTAACTTCAGTTGTAAAAGTAGTAAGTCAGAAGAGAGTAATAAGTCTGAGATATAAATTTGGGAGTTATCAATAAGAAAATGGATTTAAAGCAACAGGAATGAATGGACTTCCCTAGAGAACAAGTGTAATTAATGAGATGAAAATGGGCCTAAAATTGATAGCTGAAGAACTGCAGTATTGAGAGGATAGAGAAGGAGTCAGCAAAAAAGATGAAGATGGTTCATTTACTCAGCAAGTATCTGTTGAGCTTTTTCCAAAAAAGTGAGGGCGGGGCAAGGAGTGAGACGGAGAGGAAGGAGAGAGAGAGAAACTGTAGAGGCTTTTAAGTTACAACCAGACACTTTATGGGTTGGTGTGGAGCTTTAAGGTCATAGTTTTATGGAAATGCTGGTAATTGGCCTGATACTATTTTTAGGGCTTCTGTTCTACCTCCTATTTTGTTGCATAGTGCTAAAAGATTTCCTTTGTCAGATCTGCTAGTCTTTTTCTATTAATTATATAAGATTTATTTATTGATTTGTAGTGTTTATGTGTAGTACTAGTGCATTTACTATGTTGTTGTTAATAAGTACCTTGACATAGTCTTTAAATTTTAAATCTTAAAATTATATGTATTACCTGAAATCTATTTAAACCCAACAAGTTAGCTTATTTAGTTAAAAATGTTTGCTTTGAACATTGTGTGAAAAATTAATTTGTATGGGATCAAATTGATAACCCAACTGGCAGGCAGAGAGTGAGAGAGTTCATGTTAACGGGGGAGGAGCAATTCGGAAAAGGATATATCAGTGTAATTTAGTGTTTGTTTTCTGTTGTTGATTCTTCTATGTTCAGTTCATTTCTTTAGCTCGCTCTATAATTCCCACCCCCACACTTTTTATTGTGTATTGAGTGAAGGCTTCTATAAGGATCATCAACTTTACATTTAACATACATATACTTGGTTTCAGAGTCGTGGTATGGCACTATGGGTTAATGTGCCAGACTGCAAAGCCATTTGAACTGCAAGGTTGGTGGTTCAAGCTCACCAGAAGCTCCTCGGAAACCCTATCCAGGGTTGCTATGGATCAGAACTGACTCAATGGCACTTAACAACAACAACATACTTTGCTTCGTTTCAATAATTACAATCCCCTCCATACAACAACAGTTATCCTGCTTTCTCCTTCTCAACTTTGTTCTTAGGAAAATGTCCTGTTGCTTTTGAGTGACCATTCCATGATGAGCATATCTTAATGGTGTTATTGTGCCACCATCCCCCATAAGCCTACTACTTTAGTATAGCTGTTGTCAGTATGTTGTTGTTGTTAAGTGCCATTGAGTCTGTTCTGATCTATAGCGACCCTGTATAGGGTTTCCAAGGAGTGACTAGGGAGTTTAAACTTTACAGTCCCTCACATTATCCCACAGTTATACTAAATGTTTGAAACTTTTTAGTTTGGAAAACACTACTAAAATATTTATTTTTTCAGATATGCTAGTCTTTTAACTATACTGATTAATATTCTTTTTATATATAATTATATTGATTAATATTCTTTTTATATATAATACTAGTACATTTGCCATATTGCTGTTACTAAGTGCAGTTGAGTCAGTTCCATCTCATAGCAACATTGCAACCTTGTGTAGGGTTTCCAAGAAGTGACTGGTGGGACTGAACTGCTAACCTTGTGATTATCAGTCCAGTACTTATCCTACAGTGCCACATTTTTTTAAGCCTGAGGGGTATCAAAATGGGATTTTGAGATTTCTGCACAACAAAACTCAAAACCATCCCATTGCCGTAAGGTCAATTGCAACTCTAGTGACCCTTTATATAGGGCAGAGTAGAACTGCTCCATAGGGTTTCCAAAGATTTGAGGAAGCTACCTGTCAGATCTCTCTCCTGTGGCGTAGCTGGTGGGTTCAAACTACTCACCTTTCAGTTGGCGGCCACGTACTTAACCACTGTACCACCAGGGCTCCTTTCTATGCACAATAGGAGTATTCAGAACTGAAATCATTTCAAAGTGTATTCTTTTTTATGGCCTGTGCTGATGTTAAAGATCATTGTAGCTATTATTGGTGTACCTTGCTTTAAGCAAACATGGTAATGTTTCTATTCTAAAAGTATTCTTTCTGTATTATGTAGAGCACCAAATGCTTCTCACTACATAAAGACCATTAACTACTCAATTACTTGAGGAGGTTAGATAGGAATGACTTTTCTTTAGAAAAACAGAAGTGAATTTATAAGTAGATGTTCAGTCAAGAAATGTTTTTGTGTACTAGTTATGTATTAACTGTTTTTGAGATGAAATATTTAATTATTAAAAGAACTCCTAGGGAAAAGAGAAACACAAGGGGAAAATAATGGTTGGTAGCAGGTTAGAATCAATTAACAGTTTAGAAAAAGTCTAAAGCAGTGAGTCTCTATTTTCTTTTTGTATTAAGAGCCCTATACGCTCTTTTTTTAAAAAAATTTTTTTAAGGTTTTTATTGTGGATTGAGTGAAAGTTTACAAGGCAGATCATCAGTTTTACATGCAACAAATCATACACCTTGTTTCATTACAATGATTGTGATCCCCTCTATGTACCATCAGTTAACAGTATTTCTCTCTATTCACTTTCGCTTTTTAAAAAAACAACATTCAGGCATATATAATAATTTACATCTCCAAAGGGCACATTCTGCAAGTCTGCCTCCTGGCCACCAGCTCTTAGTCCCAATCTTCCCATGAATCTAGAGTCCTCAGCACCTCCCCCTCTCTATAACCCCACCTCTGCCTCCATCTCTGGCATCACTGCTTCTCTGGATAAGGTTCCGCATTCTGCATGTGCTTTTCTCCCATGATGTAGTCCTAGGGTTCTTGATTTCTGGACTGTAAGATTAACCACTCCCCTGTTTCTGTTACAAAACTTCTACCTTTGCAATTGTGACAGTAGCAATTAGTCATGATAACAATTATTCACTATTGAATCATAAGAATCTTACTTCCATCTATTTTCACCAGACCCATCTAGACAAGATGAAAACTATTCAGTTGGGACACTTTCTTCTCTCCCCCCCGCTTAAACTAAACTCCCTCTTGAAACCTTGTAAGCCAGTCACTTCGTGCCTTTATTACTCCCTCATTTTTTATTTTTTATTTTTTGTAATCATCCTCTAGTTCAGTTCTGATTATCAAGCCATTGAGGATAGGTCAAATGTCTGAAAGTTTGGGTGTTCTTGTGCATTTCCCCTCAGCTGGATGCTTCACTCTCAGTTCTAGCCCTCTGTGGCTATATCCTTGTCCATGGGCTCAAGTGTCCCCAGGTCTTACCACACTTATGACCAACCAGCCCTTCCTCTTCTCTCTCTCTCCAGATCAGTGGCAGTCAATGGACTGTGGTTGAACGCAACCCATTTCTTCATTGCTGCCTTTCCCCTCTTATACTTACCAGTGTGGTCACCAGCAAGCTTACATGCCTGTTCACGTGTTCCCTTTGAGTTTCAGTCTTAGAGGAGAGTTTGTGCTGAAGGAATTTGATTGCTTGCCTTGATGGCTTCCCGGCAAACAGCTTGCTTGTTCTTGTATTAGCCAGTCATGCTGACATTTTTTGTTTTGGGTTTCTCCTGATGATCTTTCTTTGAAGATGTATCTTCTGTTGCTCTAGCTGTTCCAGGCTGGTCTGGTTGTCCTTGCTAGTGGAAATGTCCCACCTCAAAAGGTTCTGGATGGTACTCAGGTTTCCACCTAAAGTCCTATACTCTACAAAGGCTTTGCAAGAGGACTATTTCACTGGGCAAGTTCTAGAACACCTTTTAGGTATCAATCAGTTATAGGCTGAAGACGGGTGTACAAGCTTTCTATAATCATGTTTCCCAACATTTCTTACTATCCTACTTAAGTGTCTATTTTACAATA